GAGAATATCTTTAGCGAAGATGACAAATACGTTCAAGAATCTGAATGCTTTTGCTATTGAGATGTAAGGAAAGAATTTAGATTTGTAATTTCGTTGCCTCACAGTAATGATGAAATTCTGATTTCTGTTTTCCGTTGTCGAAAAAATAGATAATGGAATGAGGTTCCAACTTCGGAAAGAATTTAGATGGTTCAAGAACATGAATTTTAAGCTAAAGGTGTAGTGGTGATAGATGGCAGTAATGCGTTTATATAGTCTGTGCGAGTGGTTTATTGTGATTCCGATGAATCCCAGATGACATGGAGAAGAACTCACACCTCAAGGACCTGCAGGCTCTCGGATCCTTGGAGGTCTTCCGCGCCGACTTGGATGAAGATGGCAGCTTTGACGACGCCGTCGCCGGCTGCGACTACGCATTCCTAGTCGCCGCTCCGGTGAACCTCCACACGAAGAACCCTGAGGTGAACAAACGTCACAGCTACTCGAGTTCCATCTCTCGTTTGTCTAGTACTTGCTGACGGCATCTGTTCATACTGTTCATCAACGTTCATCCCTTGCTGAATTGGATTTGTGATGGCAGAAAGAACTGATCGAGCCCGCTGTCAGAGGAACTCTGAACGTCATGCAGTCGTGCGTGAAGGCCGGGACGGTGCGGCGCGTCGTCCTGACCTCGTCGGCGGCCGCGGTGTCCAGCAGGCCACAGCAACCATGCATTTGCTGACGACGAGGACTCCTGGTCTGACGTCGAGTACCTCAGAGCCCACAAGCCTGCAGGGCCCTGGGTACGTCGTACGACGCACGTCAGTCCATGCATTTGCTGACGACGAGAAGTTGAGAACGACGGCGCTGCTGGATGTGCTTGCTTGCATTGCAGGCGTACCCGGTGTCCAAGGTGCTCCTGGAGAAGGAGGCGTGCAGGTTCGCGGCGGAGCACCGCATCAGCCTCGTCACGGTTTGCCCCGTCGCCACCGTCGGCGCGGCACTGGCACCCAAGGTCCGCACCAGTGTCCCAAACTGCCTCTCCCTTCTATCCGGTGAGGCTCAAGGCGACGAGGTTTGGTGTGGATGGCACACATGCATATGGTGGTCATGTGGTACCATTTTCAGGCGACGAGGCAGAGTTCGCGGTGCTGGACGCCATCGAGAGGGCCACTGGGTGCGTGCCGCTGGTCCACGTCGCCGAGGAGGACGCGGCCGCGGGGAGGTACATCTGCTGCGGGCTCAACACGACCATCGCCGAGCTTGCGCGTTTCCTCTCGGATAAATACCCGCAGTACGGCGTGAAAACGAACCTGCTGTAAGAAAGAACCGGCTTCGCAGCTCTGGATTCTGACGAAATCTTTTGCACCGATGACTGACCGATACCGTTTGGCTGCACTTTTGCACGCAGCTCCGGCGAGCGGCTTCAGAAGCCGAGAGTGCGTCTGTCGTCCGAGAAGCTGGTGAGGGAAGGGTTCGAGTTCAGGTACAGGACGCTGGATGACATGTACGACGACATGGTCGAGTATGGCAAGGTCCTGGGAATCCTGCCCAACTGATGTGGTGCTCCTCTGCTTTCGGCTGGCGATCGGGAACCCTCCTGCAGAACAAGTCTAGTAGGAGTATGCTACAAGTGTGCTGAACCGTATACGCTGAGGTTCTGGACCTCTGTCACGTTAGAGGGCAAAATAAGTGCAGTTGGTTTGAACTCTTTCGGCGACAATTTGTGGGATTCATCGTGGGCAGAAATCATTCAAAAGTAGTTCAATCGCTGACGCCATTTTCCAGAAAGAAAGAGATTTGTTCATACGATTAAAACTAGTATTGGTGACCAAAAAATTGTCATTATAAACAATCATTTGTGTCACGACAAAATGTCTTTATGCTATGCATTTTGTTTTTCCTATTTTCTTGTCGTGATTTTTTGTTGCCACAACATAAACTTTCTCACTCCCATAAAGTCCTGTTGGTTTGACACCATGCAAACATGGCTAGCAGGCAAAGCATTCTTAAACATGGCTAGATTCAAATTTGCTGCCCTGGGTTCAATCCAAACAGCCCTGCATTAGAATGAAGTTTGCAATCCCGTCCTAGCATAACAAAACCTAATTTTGAAAAAAAAAACACCAAATTCAAGGGAAAGACCACCCACAATATTGCATTGAGGGAAAAAAATTGGGTACGGGACTCCCATACGTGGAAAAAAAATTGGGTACAGGACTCCCGTACGCGGCACCGTGCAGCTGCCCACTCAGATGACGACGTGTGGCAGGCTTGGCAAAATTGGCTCGGCAAGCTCGCAACTAAAGATCCACGTATTTGTAGGTTCACTGGGCAGTCGCACAGTGCCACGTATGGAAGTCCCGTATCTATTTTTTTCTGCGTTGAGAAGAAGCTCTCATGCAGGGGAAAAAAAAGAGAATTGAAGACCGGCTGCCTTAGTGCCTTGGACGTGCCACCTAGTTCCCATGAGCCATGATACATGTCTGTGGCCATGTGGGTCTCGCTGAAAGCGCCATACTCAGAACCAGGTTTAACTCAGAACCATAGCCGATGAGCAGAATTTTTAACTTAGAATTTTTTAAATTGGCTCCCACGAAATCACGAACCCAAGAAATGTGGTGCTACTTGGGCCCTGCTAACCAGCATCAGCTAGCAAACATGTTCGCAAAACCAAATTTCTCGGTAGAATGAGTCCAGAACATTAACAACAAAAGAGCATGAGAGGATAGAATACGTTTCTACGTAGTTAGAAAGGCTTTGGGGAGAAATTAAAGGATCTAGAAGACGATAGAAACACAGCGTGGCCAACCAAAACAATGACGAAACATATCGCAGCCCTACAAGATCCTAATGGCCTTGTTGAGGACAATCCAGGGATATTCTAGAGAGTGGCTGATTTTACCGAAGTCATTAAGGACCACAGAGGTGAGGTATGTCTTGCACCTAACTTTTGGAATAGCGAGGAATGGAATAAAATTTTCTACGACACTGCCTCACCCGGTGGCTTCTGCGAAGGAATAGATGATTGACACGTGGAACTACATGCAGATCGTGTGGAGAGCTGAGTCCACCTGAGCTGAGTCCACCCGAACTGCTCAACCAAACAGAGGCTGCGGAGCTACATCAGGCGGTTGGATCGAGGTTCAGGACACGTGGCGGCAATCAGGGCAGTGTCGCACAGGCCGCCGGGTGAGGCGGTGTTGCAGAAAATTTTATTCCGCGAGGAACTAGCAACAACAACAGCAAAGGAAAATGCTTGTTAGAAAACCCTTCACTGAGGAGAAAGAGCAACTCCAGCATGGTCCTCAAACAGACCTCTAAACTTTAATTTTAGGCTTAGATAAAAAACATAGTCTAACAGGTCCCTACTAGAGCCTTCAAATCACCCCTGCCCTCATTCTCGGGACTCTCCACCTAGCCCTTACTTAGCCGTGGAGCTATCTCCCACTCGTGGCTCCTCCCCTCCCTAGGGTGAGATCTTGCTCCCTTGATAGATCTCCCTCGGCCCGCCACGGCTCTCCTCTCTAGTGAGTTCCCTCATCTGCCTGGCTCCTCTCCTCCCCGGCGTGGTCCCCCTGGCCGCTCATCTTCGGTGACCCCGACTGTGTTGCTCTTCTCTTCGGCAAGTTCCCTCGGTCGTGCGGCTTTTCTCCTCCCGGCGAGGTCCTGATACTCCTCCCCATTGACCCAGAGCCCCCGGCCACGTGGCACGTCTCCTCCAGGGAGATCCCGACGAGGTCCCCGTTCACTCCTCCCTGACTCCTCACAATCGCATTCCTGCCGACCAAGTGGCCCCTGGCCACTACTAGCCAGCTGCCAGCCCCAACCAGTTGCAGCTAGGTCAACAGCGGCTCGGGCTTGGTCAGTGTTGGTTGTGCACCGGTGATTGGCAACTACAAGTTGCTAGTAGGAGGCTATGGTAGTCTAGGGTTTGCCAAGGCTTGTTTTCAATTGTTACGTAGTTGTTGGTAATATGAGCATTCATAATTCACTCGTGAAAAAAGAATTTGATGATTTATTATTGGACGATGATGACTATTTCATCATTTCTGCTGGTCTAACCCTGCATGGTCATAGGAAACATGCAAGAAATTATGATGGTGTCGTCCCGCAACATAGTCATATATTGAGATAGACAAGGAGAGACGAGGGGATGTGTAAACATGTCATATAATATTTCTTATATATACAAACTAAAGACCTTATTTTAAATCATTGTGCCGTTGGGCATGTTGTAGCCATTCCTGGCCGGCCATAGCTGGCCATGCCGCAGCCATGGGGAGGGGAGAGAGAGCCAGCCATGGGAGGACAAATGAAGCAGAAATTGACCCACTGACACGTGGGGTTCCGCATGTAAGATAGATAAAGAGTATGTTTTTCTTTTTATTAATATGCTGTAACAATCATCTCCTAAAACTAGAAATCATTTTTTCTTAATCCTCTAACAAATGTTAAGATTGTCTCCAACAGGTGGCCCATAAAGGCACCCAGCCTGACCTATTTTGGGTGCCAGGAGAGGTATAATCTAAATCTAAGTATTCTCTCTTCTGGAGACACATTTGCAGAAAGAGTTCTCTTTTGGGTCTTGTTGTTGGAGAAGATAAAAAATAGATATTGAACTTTTTACCTGTAGCGTCATCTAAACATGAAATGGGTCTTATATTTTGGGTGTTGTCGTTGGACATAGTCTAAGAGAAGGCAGAATGGGGATCGAGTGAAGTTGCTCTAATGAGATATGTATGATCAATTTGAAAAGAAATGGCTCAATAATTTGTTAGAGCACTGAAATGACATGTGAACGTCGATAAAGACAAGAAACACTGACTTGTGAACACTCAGTCGCGTTGTCCACGTTTGCCAATTGCCACTTGGCAACAAGTAACAGAAACCTGGCCTACCGCCTTTTTCCGCACAGCACAACAGAGAACAGACCCTGTCTCTTCCTCCCTGAAAATTCTGCCGAACGAGCGAGCGAATCCCCTTTCCAGCCCGTTGTGAGGTGGCACTGGCAGCCGGCCATGTCGGCCGGCGACAGGAAGAAGACGGCCTGCGTGACCGGAGGAAACGGGTACATCGCCTCGGCGCTCATCAAGGTGCTGCTGGAGAACGGGTACGCCGTCAAGACCACGGTCAGGAACCCCGGTTGGTCCCTCTTTTCGTTCCTGTTTCTCTGATCAGGCAAAACATCCAGTGTTGTTGTGCGAAATTTGACAGTAAATTAGAAAGGTTCAGGAATCCGAATGCACCTCCAGTCTTTTCAAATTAATCAACTCGGTGAATGGCAGAAAGAGCTGATCGAGCCGGCCGTCCGAGGGACTCTGAACGTGCTGAGGTCGTGCGCGAAGGCGGGGGCGGCGGTGAAGCGCGTGGTCCTCCTGACTTCGTCGGCGGGCTCTGTGTTGTCACTCTTGTCAGGCCAGAGCTGCAAGGCGACGGCCATGTGCTGGACGAGGAGCCCTGGTCCGACGTCGAGTACCTCACTGGCACCAAGTCTGGTCTCTGGGTACACGTGCGGACACGCATCCGTTCAAATTCAGGTTCAGTTCTGCACCCTTCCATGCTCTGAAAGACCGAAACGCACTGTCTGTGTCGCAGGCGTACCCGGTGTCCAAGGTGCTCCTGGAGAAGGCGGCGAGCAGGTTCGCGGCGGAGCACGGCATCAGCCTCGTCACCGTCTGCCCCGTCGTCACCGTGGGCACAGCGCCGGCCCGGAGCGCCCGCCCCAGCGTCCTCAACTGCCTCTCCCTTCTATCAGGCGACGAGGCAGCGTTTGGCGCGCTGAGAGCCATGGAGCTGTCCGGCATGCTGGCGTTGGTCCACGTCGAGGACCTCTGCCGCGCGGAGCTGTTCGTCGCCGAGGAGGCGGCGGCCGCGGGGAGGTACCTCTGCTGCGGCCTCAACACGACCATCCTCGAGCTCGCACGTTTCCTGACTGAGAAGTACCCGCAGTACACTGTGAAGACGAATCTGCTGTAAGAATCCGCTTTCGCCGAGCTCTCAACTCTGACAGTTGCTTTACACTGGCGAACGAACGAACGATGGCTAGTGATTTATGTGCTTCCGCTTTGCCTGCAGCTTCGGCGAGCTGCTTGAGAAGCCGAGGGTGTGTCTCTCGTCCGCGAAGCTGGTCGGGGAAGGGTTCGACTAGAAGTACAAGACGCTGGATGGGATGTACGACGACATGATCGACTACGGCAAGACCTTGGGGTTCTACCCAAATAATGATGCGCCTCACTAATTACTAAGCATCTATTTAGTTCCCAAAAATTTTCACCCCAAAGTATCACATCGAATCTTGCGGCACATGCATGAAGTATTAAATGTAGACGAAAAAAAACTAATTGCACAGTTGGGTGAGAAATCGCGAGACGAAACTTTCGAACCTAATTAATCCATAATTAGACACTAATTATCAAATACAAACGAAAGTACTACAGTAGCCAAAACAAAAAATGTTCGCTAACTAAACGCGCCCTAATTAGAGAGTGCTTGTTTAGGAGATCTTCAGATGAGCCATTTTCGGACAACCAATTTACAACATTCACTTTCTCCAACATGTCCCTCTTTTCATCACGGGATCTTTTCTGGTGCCCTCTGCTCGGCGTGGACCACTTCCCCTTCACTTTATGGAATCAGCAATCAAACAGTAAAATTTATATGTAATAGAATTTTAAGTATCAGCAATCATTGAATATACCTAATATTCCAACTGTCTTTTGTTTTACTTCTCACGATATCCTCACGTCTCTTCCTGTCTCATATGTGACTATGCTGCTTAATCTATTTCTAATACTAAAGTCAAAAGTGGATCTTTCAACTATTATATTTTAGCCATGTTTGGTAGAGCAGTAAAAAATGCTTCTCTAAGAAGTTGCACAGATGAAGTAAAAGCACGGAAAAAAAGAAACTGATATTATCTAGTTTCTGTGTTCTAGTACAAATGGAGTGGGGAGAATCGTAGCCAGAAAAAGCTCAAATAATGTGTCGTCTGGCTTTTATTCTCAGCTTATTTTGCTCATAAGTAGCATATAAGTTGTGCTATTTAATTCTCACAATTCGTGCATTTGCGCACCTCTCTGTCCCATCCTTGACTTGGACTTATGATCCATGCTTATATGAGCGTGCAACATGTCGTATGTCACGTTGTTATGTACGAGTATGTTTGCTAGTCTATATCTAATACTAAAGTAGCATTGTGTTTCCCATGGTCCTTTAGTCTCTCGTGTGCCCCTACAAGTTAGTGCAACATGTCAGGTATACGGTAAAGAGTCTGGTCATAAAATGAATTGGAACACAAAGCGTTTTCATAATCTGTCTATAACACCCCGAAACCTCACTACCTGATATGCCACCACGAGTTGGAAACTAGAGCGACCGGCAACAATTTCGACAGCATCTTCCCTTAAAACAAGAGCAACGCGGAAGCAACAACATACAGATAGATATAAATAAGCTCAACATAAGCAAGTAAGCACCAACAACAAACTACAGGAAACAACCCAACAAGAACCATAAGTAGAAGCTCCACTTCTAATCATTTTATTACTACAATACATATTATTTTAACATTAGATTGTGGCATTAATGTGCAAAGGTGTTGATACTTTCCCACCCTTCGAGCAAAAGCCACTTGAGTACTTGAAAAGATAGAAGGGGGTGTGAGATATAAAAAATATCAGCAAGTAAACTGCTTTAACAAGCTATTTAAACTACAAGTTCATTAAGCATCGGTTTAAACCTCATCTATATCTATATCTATATATCTTATATTTTCAAACCCCACTAGCAATTTATCTTGTCATGCAAAATATCCACATCAGCATCCACCAGAACATCCCACTAGCACATACAATTATCGCGCCACACAAAGTGTCCACATCAGCATCCATTAACACATCCAACTAACACATGTCATTATGTCTTTATTCAAGCTATTCACATTAGCAAACCACATCATTTACTAACATATATTTAGTTGTCCACATCATATTGTCAAAAATCATCCATTAACATGTATTATGATATTTATTCATTCATATTAGTAAATATAAGTAGTATAATTTCACCAGTGATTCCCGCAGCAACGCGCGAGACGTTCTTCTAGTTTATATGTAAGCCAACAACAAGCATTGAGATGTGTCCAACAATTGATACAATCTCATCCATGGTAAAGATGAATAACCAACAAACCTTGGAGAAGCATATAGCTTCTCACAAACTCATCCAAAGCCTTAGTCCAAGGCTGTCATGCCATAAGCCAAAATTATAGTGCATATGCAATGCAAATGACATGTCTCCTGCCTTCATACCCAACAAAGTATGGAGCCGCATCATTATCCCAATAAACGATGTTATATCGGTACGGTCGCAGCTAGCAAGCGGCGGCATAACTCCATATGCCGATTAATGAATGAGATGCAATGCAAATGCCGCACAAAGAAAGATAGATAATCACGTAACATCATGAGCATCTCTCCATGTAGACAAAAGTCATATTCCATTGAATCAACATGAGCATCATCAAACCATAAGTGTAGGAACATAGATATTCAAATAGAGAGCATAGAGAATATCACAAATTCCATAACATGGTTGAGATGTAATATTATCTTGGATTGGGTTCTGAATTTTTAAGGTGGAGGTAATATAAATAACAAGTTAAAGCTTATAGCAAACCACCGCTACGTTTACTTGCCTCCAATGAAGTGATGATCGCTATCTGCGATCCGAAGCACTACCACTTGCTTAAGTTGTATAATGTCAGAGGTAGAACTCATTTCAACAAATATAAACAGTAGGTAAAGCACTCCTATGCCCCAACCCAACATCGAAGCAAAACAGTGAACAAAGCACTAAACCCGTTGTAGCAGTGCCGCTTCACATTTTTTTGTATCAATCAATCCATGAAGGCTATGATAGCAAACAAATACACTTCTGGAATCTACACAACAAGGCCTATAACTTTCATGAAAAACTTCTATTTTTATCACGCCTTTAAGATAGCCTAAACTATCGTTAAAAACAGAAACTATCTAAGAATTGAGACAACAGGCTTTATATTTTTATATCTCCATACCCTTATGTCCAAAAACTATGAAATTTCACCAGATAGCAAATCACTTCATAATCTACAACTTTCATAAAGGAGCTATATTTCTACCATGCCATTAAGATGGCCTAATCTACAGTTCAAAATAGAGTTTAGAATCTGCTCCAGAATTGAGACAGCAGCTTCATATTTTCATATCTCCAAATAACTAAGTCCAAAATTTATGCAATTTAACGATGGAGCAGATAATTTGATAACCTACAACTTTAGTATTATGCACTTTTATAGAAAGAGCCAATTATATGGCCCTAAGCATGACCCAATCTTAATTGAAAATCCTGCTCAGGAAACAATACATTGAGCTTTGAAAATCTATACCTAGAGTTTCCATTATCCACAAATCATGATATTTTACCATTCTGGAAAGCTAATGAAAAGTAATACTAGTATCTTACAGTTTGTAAAGTCCTACCATGCCTCTAAGGTTCTCAAAATCCTCCTAGATAAAGAATGACAACTACCTTAGGAAAATCATATCTCTCAAACCACTCGGGATAAAATCATGAAATTTCATGAGCTAATAGATCTGAAGGCCCTCTACAATTTTTATATTATCCACTTTTGGACAAAAAGACATTTATATCTCGAAAACTACAAGAACAACTACAGTGCTAAAAAGTTCAGGCAATAGAATCCTAGATTGAATTCCTAAGGAGATTCTACCGTCAAACCCCTAAATTTCAAGATCAAAGACCATACAAAACACCTCAATCAGAAGACCCAAAGGGGAAATCATCTCAACTTGGCTACCCCCAACCTAGGGCAGCAAGAAACGGTGAGGAAGAAGTCGATCTACACCCAAGATGCAGCTCTACTAGATCCTTTCCTCCTCTTCAATCCATTTCCCCTCTTTTTCCTTGGTTATTACTGATTTAGAGGAGGCTTCAGATAGGGGAGGATGCAGGGGAGAGGGAGGGGCGTGCTGGGGAAGAGGAGGTCGGGAAGGAGAAAAGGAGAGGCGTACTAGGGAAATGAACGCTCTCTACAGAGGATAGATGGGGGAAAGTGACTTGGGCCAGGGAAGGGGGTGAGATGGTTGGGCCTTTGCCCTCTTCCAAGCCATTCACCTATTTGGTTTTTTTATGTGCTATACACTGTCACTCTTCGGTACTCTCATTAAAGTTAGAAGTAGTGTGTGCAGACACGTCATGGAGTCCAATCCCAAAACGGACTGGCACACATGACAGGTTCATTGATAAATCTCAGAGCCTTATGTGCCCATACAAGTTAGAGCAACGCGCGTCCTGCCATGATACGGAGTCCTATTCTAAGATGAATTGAAACACATGATGAAATAATAAATCTCCCAACCGCAAATTGTATGTCTTGTTGCCATGCCGAGGGCATGTTTGCTAGGAAAAACAAATTTGTATATACACACAAAATTGTGAAAGAATTTGTACATGGTAAATACGTGAACAAATGCTAGAGTTGCATTCTATTTAGGGTCTATTTAGAACTGCCATGTTTTCAACTTCGCGAGCCAAACATGATGCTCCATAACCATAAACCCACTCCATGGAAAAAAAAATAAAGGTGGAGTTAGGGATCACCTCCACGTTATTCAGAACGAACTTGGTTTAGAATTCTGAATTGGGATCGTGAATACAAAGCAGAGTAACATTACTAGGGCAGAATTCCCAAGGCCTTGCCGTAGTCGATCATGTCATCATACATCCCATCCAGCATCTTGTACTTGTAATCGAACCCATCCTTCAAGTGGCAAACGCGGACCACGCCATTAACAAATGATTCAAATAATTGAGGCACTTCCCTAGCTTTTTCAACACATCTAGCATACTAGTTCTTAACTAATGCTCCACTATAGGCTATAAGCTAATGAGACACAATTATTGAAAATCCATGGATTATTTTATTACATACAACTAACCAGAATCGCTTGTCTTTATGCGGTCAAATTCATGTGATGGTGGGTGAGGATATGTCATTCGTGACTCAGACGGTGATGTGGTGTGTGCCGGGCGAGGAATAGTGGAGTTTCTACTGAATGCTTTTCAGGCCAAGGTGATTGGTCGTATACGGGGAGTGCAGGCAGCTGTAAACGTGGGGATCACCAATCTTATTCTGGAGACCGATGCTATGTTGGTGCAACAAGCAGTCAATTCTGGAGACTACAGAGCGTCGTTGGCTGGGAGTCTCCTGGAGGAACTAGATAGCTTGGTGTCAGCAAATTTTAATTCTTTTGTTTGACTAGCAATTCCTAAAGATTGTAACAAGATTGCTCATGAGTTAGCAATCCTTGGGTGTGCTTGGGCTGAGGGATCTGAGCCAGTCTTGAGCTCTCCCCTGGATCATGTTAACACTCTAATTGCTGATGAACAATCAGCAAGTTTCTTAACCGATGCTCCTCCCTAGACTTCAATCTAATGAGGCATAATTATTGAAAATTCGTGGACAATTTTATTATCTACAACTAATCACAATCACGTGTCTTGACGGGGCCAATCCATTTTTCTAATCTGTACCCTAATAAATAGAGAAAAATTGTTTCTTCTGTCTCTCACGCTCTTCATTCTTTTCCTTAGTCTATCGTCCCTCTTTCTCACCATTCTCGTTTTGACTGGAGCTGCAAAACCCTTTTTACCGTCGCACCTCATGTCATGGACTGGTCGCTCAAGCTCATTTATGATGTGGCATGCGTGCGGACAAGATAGAAAAGCAAATGTGCTTACATCACCATTTTCATGAAACTTAAAAAAAAACAAAATTTATAAATTGAGTGACTAAAATAAATTTCGTTGCCAAATGCTTTGGCGCTTCCAATGTTCCTATGAATCTTGAGCAATGTTGGTTGTGGTGTGAGAAATGGTTCCCATTTGGAAAGAGGTTTCATCCTTGGGGGGTAGCGGCTATTTGTTGGCTGATTTGGAAACGAAGAAACAAAGTTGTGTTTGAAGGGAATATATTACAAAATCCGCTGGAAATAATATGACATGCGTGCGCGCTCATGGTTTATTGGTCAGGTTTATTTGTAGAATTGGATAGAGATCAGCTAGTGGAAGGGGCAAATACTATGCTCAGAGTTGCCAAGGAAGTCCTCGCGGCTCAAACTACACGGCAAGTGAATCAGTTGCTCCTAGAAGATGGTGATCGTTCAGATCAAGACCAAGACTCGGCCTAACTCTCGGGCACCAGGTTGACATCACATGGCGAGGTAGTTTGTTCAGAAGACAGTTTTTGCAGAAGTTGGGTCTGGTTGTGGCCTTTTGTTGACTAGGTGATGGTTGTTAACAGTCTAGTCTTGCTTTAGCTCTACGGGAAATTTGTTTGTCCGCTCTGGTGTTTTTTGGGGCATTGTTTAGCTGTTCTGGCGTTCTGGTTGCAGTATGCTGCTTCCGGAAAACTCTTTTCTTTCTTCTGTCTGTAATCTTCAGAATGCTGTGTATTTCCGTTATCTCTAATGGAAATGGGTTTGCCCGTGTGGAAAAAAAATTTGTTGTACCATTGTGTTTCTTAAACAAATCCCCTGAAACAACACTCTACTTTGGTACATTGATATAAATTTTTGTTAAAAATGTTTTTTTTTGTGAAGATATAATATTTTTCGTCAAAACAAATACTAATACTTATGAGCTATAACTTATTTTTGTCATAGGAATGGTTTGTGACAAAACTGTCGCTTGTATGTGACAATTTTCCATTCGCTATTCTTGGCGACCTTTCTCTCGAAATACAAAAGATCCTTTCCTCTCCTTGACTTGAGAGACCTAAGAGACACTATGTCGGAATTCCACGTCATAGACACGTCTTAACGCAATTTACAGACGTGGATTCGACGCGTCACTCTTGCGGCGTCTGTGATGAGTACATATCACAGAAGTGTGCACAACCACGTCTGTGATGACTCCTAACACAGGCGCATACACACAGTGGCGGACCTAGGATTTTGCTAAGACTAGGGCCAAATTCCACCCACTAGCAAAACGCCGATAACTACACCATAATCTATACGACTATATACTAATATACATAATACATATGTGTGTCCCCGAATAAATAGATATATTCATGGAAAGTTTGCAAATGTATGGTACAGTCACTAGATATACTAATGGAAAGTTTTGCTGTTCTGGTGCTGGGGATGGAGTAGGACATTAGGTTGTTATTTGGCAGGCCCCTGTTGCTCAGGAACGAGAGAAATGTGACTTGTGCACTGTAATCAGAAATTAGAATCAAATGGTTGAAATTAGGAACATGGAAATAGAAATTTTGGAATCAAAATCAGTTTCCGATCCAAACCTAACAAAGGAAGCTTGCTCAGTTGCACTACTCACCTGCAAGAAAGGAGCCGGCCTGGCTGAGGAAGGAGCCGCGCCGGTGTCACCGCGGAGCGCAGAGCGGAGGGCCAGGGGGCAATGGGCGGTGCAGCGTGGGGGACGGCCGGACCCGAATGGGCGCCGGCGCCGGTCGCGACTCTCGCGAAGCGAGTGAGCGACGGTGTGAGAAGGCAGTCGAGCGGCTCTGAGTCTCTGACGCTCTGCGGTTGCAACTACTCTGCAAATGGGCCAAAAAACTGATGAACTGCTCCCTTGTTACATGGGCCAGGACTATGGGCCATGGCCTGGGCTGTCCTAGTGCTAGGTCCGCCCATGCATACACACATACCATGTCTTTGATGACTCCTAGCATAGACGCGTGTAGACAAAATGCGCATGCGATGAGAAAGGTTACCCAGATGTGTGTAGTAAAACCACATCTCTATGCCTATATACGTATTTGGTATGATATCTATTTATTGCTTTTTAATAAATCTGATCAAATTTTGACTTGGAATTGGAACTATGCTAGATTTGTATTCTAGGAAGGAGGTAGTAGTAGTTTGTAGAGTTACGGGCCTTTGGTACGACTATGCTTCACTAGCGTAGTAGGGTTTTTTTGGCTTTGGCTCCCGAAGCAGCTCCACAAGTGGAGCTGAAACTATTTAGATAGAACATCCGGTAAAAAACTTCATAACATAGATAAAAAGAACAAAAGACCATAAGGTTCTTCTTTTTTTCTTTATTTCCCCTCCCCTATTTGTTTCTCCTATGTCTCCTTACCTATTCGGTCGTTCGCCTCGCACCTGCGGCCACGTCCCGCACCTGCCCCCCTTGTAGAGGTGCAAACGAATAAGATACGGACAGGTATCGCTGATATTACATTTGTATTCATATTTTTTTGTTCGGATTTAGATTTGAATACGGATAGTAACAACTATGTCGGATAGGATACGGATGGATATCGACATCATAAATATGCGATCTGAATATTCGGATACAGATACTGTAGCGGATGTTGAATATCTGGATTGAAATGGATAGACCTGAACTGCTTTAAACAGTCGCCCCTACCCCCTTGTCGTAAACCCGCCTCCGGCGAATCGGTGTCTGCGCTCCCCACACTCTGCCCTTCGACAACCCGGAGCCTCCACGCCTCGCCCACATGCAAGGAGCAGGGTATTTTAGGGTTGGCCCGCAAGCAAGGACAAGGGAGCCGTGAGAAGCATGTTTTTTTAGCTCTGTCTGACGCCAAAGCCATGTCTCACCAGGTATTCCGTGGCTCTATGGGAGAAGTTTCTTTTTCACCTGTTTGATAAGAAATTAAATCAAAACTGCTCCTAAAGCTGGTGTATAATCTCTATCAAACAGGCCCTTAGACTTAGGGTATATTTAGAATTCCTTCACTTCAAACTTCGCTAGCCAAACATGGAAGAACCATGAACTCCGATCCAGGGGGAAAAAGTGGAGTTAGGGATAAGCTCCACATTATTCTGTACGACCATGGTACAACGTTTTTTTCTCACAGCAAAACAGTATCAGCTGTAGCCGAACAAGGCAGGTTTAGAGTTCTAGAATTGTGATCATGCATACAAAGGCCTTGTTTAGATTGCAAGTTTTTTCACTCTCTCTCCATCACATCAAATCTTTGGACACATGCATGGAGTATTAAATATAGATAAAAAAATAACTAATTACATAGTTTGATTGTAAATTACGAGACGAATCTTTTGAGCTTAGTTAGGCCATGATTGAACAATAATTGTCAAATACAAACGAAAATGCTACAGTGCTAAATACTAATTCCTAACTCCAATCTAAATAAGGCCAAAGCAGAGGAGTAACATTATACTATGGCAGAATTCCCAAGGCCTTCCCGTAGTCGATCATGTCATCATACATCCCATCCAGCATCTTGTACTTGCAATCAAACCCTTCCTTCACCAGTTTCCCGGACGACACGTGTACTCTCGGCTTCTCGAGCAGATCGCCGGAGCTGCAGGCAAAGTGGAAGCACATAGTAAGACCTTCTTTAGTTCCGCGAAATTTGTAAATTTGGCTATTGTAGCACTTTCGTTTTTATTTAACAATTATTGTTCAATTATAGACTAATTAGGCTCAAAACGTTCGTCTCGCGATTTCCTACCAAACTGTGCAATTAGTTTTTTTTCCGTCTACATTTAATGCTTATGCACGTATCGCAAGATTCGATATAATGACTACTGTAGCACTTTTTTAGAAAACTTTTTGAAACTAAACTAAGGCCTAAATCACTAGCCATCGTTCGTTCGTTCGTCAGTGCAAACCAAGTGTCAGAGTTGAGAGTTAGGCGGAAGCCGATTCTTACAGCAGATTCGTCTTCACAGTGTACTGCGGGTACTTCTCAGACAGGAAACGTGCGAGCTCGAGGATGGTCGTGTTGAGGCCGCAGCAGAGGTACCTCCCCGCGGCCGCCTCCTGCTCGGCGAGGAACACCTCGCCGCGGCAGACGTCGTCGACGTGGACCAGCGCCACCGTGCCTGTCGCCATCTCCATGGCTCTCAGCACGCCGAACTCTGCCTCGTCGCCTGAAACAATCATGCGATCGAAGCTGAGAAGCCGACGAGCGTGCCATGAAAAGAACACGCAAGAACTGACGATAAGGCCGGCCTTCGATCGTGATCTCGGCCTCACCGGATAGAAGGGAGAGGCAGTTCGGGACGCTGGTGCGTGCGCTCGGTGCCGGCGCGGCGCCCACGGTGATGACGGGGCAGACGGTGACGAGGCTGACGCCGTGCTCCTCCGCGAACCCGCTCGCCGCCTTCTCCAGGAGCACCTTGGACACCGGGTACGCCTGCGACACAGACAGTGGGTTTCAGTCTTTCAGAGCATGGAAGGGTGCAGAACTGAACCTGAACTTGAACGGATGCGTGTCCGCGCGTGTACCCAGAGACCAGACTTGGTGGCGGTGAGGTACTGACGTCGGACCAGGACTCCTCGCCCAGCACATGGCCGTCGCCTTGCAGCTGCGTCCTGATGACCGAGGCCGCTGACGAGGTCAGGATCACGCGCTTCACCGTCCCGGCCTTGACGCACGACCTCATCACGTTCAGAGTTCCTCGGACGGCGGGCTCGATCACTTCTTTCTGCCATGACGCGATCGAGTTGGTTTCAGGCTTTGAGGTGGGAGTTCTTCGCCATGTCATCTGCAGTTTCAGAATCAAAACGGCCGAGCACGTTTGGTGTGATTTGGAACCGTGATGAACATCTTGCAACAGCTGATGCATATTTGCCACGTTTGCTAATACAGGATTCGGATTCCAGATGTATGTAGGTAAGATTAGCACTCGAATATTCCAGATTTACCCGTCAATTTAGGCGACAACAGCGAAAGATTTCACCTGATCGATGATCAGACAAACAGGAACCAGAAAAACTTAGTTCAAAAGGCAGGGACCGAACCAGGGTTCCTGACCGTCGTCTTGACGGCGTAGCCCTTCTCCAGCAGCATCTTGATGAGCACCGAGGCGATGTAGCCATTTCCTCCGGTGACACACGCCGTCTTCTTCCTGTCGTCGGTGGACATCGCCGGTCAACGCTCCTCACAACGGGATGGAAAGAGGAGGATTCAATCGCTTGCTCAGCAGAATTTTAATCAGCAAGGATCTTCATCACTAGGAAAAAAAGGCAGCGGTCCTGCCGGCCTGGTGGTTGCTTCCTCTCTGTTGTTGTCAAGTGGCAAACGAGAACAACTCAATTGACACTCATGGTTTGTAGCCTCTACTTTTGAGGTTTTAAGTCATTTCACCCTAATACCAAATGATTCAAAATAGTTAAGGCACTTCCGTCTGTTTTTCAACACATCTAGCATACCAGTTTCTTAACTAAGGCTCTGTTCGCTTCGCTGAAATGTCATGGCTGAAAGTATTGTTCGCTGATTTGTTGTGAAAGAAAAACACTGTTCGTTCGTTGAAAAAGTACGGCTCATAAGACATGCGAACAGGACCTAATGCTCCACCATAGGCTTGGATAATTTTATTAGAATCGCTTGTCTTTATGGGGTCTATCCATTTTTCTAATGTGATCTTTATCTGATTGTGATAGGTTTGATATGATTGCAAAATTAAATATATTGTTTTGAATATATTATTTTGCACGGATCTTTATCTGATTGAAAATAATATACTTAATGTTGCAATCATATAGCTTCTATGTGATCTTTACTCCCCTATCCACATAGGATTTGTGCAAGTCAAACAAGCATAACTTTGTTTACGTTTAAGTTTACTTGAAAATACATAATTAATTTAATGATACTTATTCATAAATGTTATCATTTTTTTACATGACTTTGGTTAAACTTAAATTGGTTTGACTCCTCGAAAAGTGATAATTGCGTCCTTTTGTGGATGGAGAAGTATTTGATTGTGATAGATTTATCAATTATTATATATTTTCATTCACATAAGTATACATTTTTGTTTTGCACTACGCCTCTATGTATGTATTTAAATGAAACATTAATTTATATTAGCTATCATTAAAGAAATGTGTGACGTCATAAATTAAGACTTGCGCTTTTAAATTTAAAATTTAATAGTTATTTCAATTTTTAATCCATGTCTTAAATTAAAACTCGATTTCTTATTTTACCTTTTATTCAAAAAAATATTTTTAAAAAACTAAATTATAGGTGAATGTATTTCACTAAAAAATTTGCGTTAACTAACAAGGTGATCTACGCAAATAGTGCAAGTAGCTAGCTTTTACTGTAACACTTTGTTTATTTAAATAGATTTTTAAATCATATTTTTATAGTTTTTGCTCTATTCATGTACCTCCAGTCCTCCACCACCTTAAACTCGATATAGCCATGGTGGACCAATTTTTTGGCCTAAATTCTTACGAATTGCTAGGAAGAGAGATTTTGATACAAAAAAATACCCTTCAATAGGCTCTTTAATTGATTATCTAAATATAACTATCCTTTATTCCGAATTTTCCCCTAGCCAAAGATAGAAAATGAGAACGACTCTCTTGAGTGTAAACAAGATATATGAAAACTGTTGGAGAGTTAAAAGATATAGAAAACGATTATTTATGCAAATGACTCTCGAAATAATTATTTAGAGAATGAGTTTTAGAAAGACTCTTGGAGATGCTCTAATGCTATTATAGCCTCTCTCTCTATATATATATCTTCTTCCTTCTTTTACACTCTTATCCCTTGGTCATGCAATTATTGCTAAGGAGTAAGGACAAATCAAGGTAATCTTCAGTTTGCTTTTGATGAACTCTATTCCTTAATAAAAAAAACACTATCCAAGTCTCTCACAGGTTGTTCGCTTCCTCATCCGTCATGTAAATTTAAATTTTGGATAATTTTATATCTTCAATTGCCCAGAATTAAAATATCAATAGATCCACCACAATAGCAAAGACATTAAGATTCTTGAACGTGTTTCAGTGTTTTAAATAGTCGGCTAAGGCATTTAGCTATGTATGTTCCAAAACAGGCTATAGCCGGCTATACCAGCAGCTAAGAGCTAAATTGTATATGAAAAAAACTTAATTAAATCTTTCTCAAACAGCTATAGCCGGAGATTTAAAACTTACTTTGTTGTCATTGCTAATAAAGATATCCTCTGTCCATGAAAAGGAAGGGCCACTGCACGAACCGAGACTGAACTAAAGGGGAAGGTCAAAGAATCAAACCGTGGTTCCTGACCGTCATCTTCACGGCGTAGCCCTTCTGCAGCGGCACCATGATGAGCGCCGAGGCAATGTACCCGTTTCCTCCGGTCACGCACGCCGGTCTTCTTCCTGTCGCCGGTCGACATCACCAGCGCTCCTCACAGCGGGCTGGAAAGGGGAGGGATTCTGTCACCGACCTAATCAACAATTGGGCACACAGAACTGGCATACAAGTTTCTGGAAGATTCTAGAAGGATCTAGACCTGTACATAACACTAGAAGGGGTGGGATAGGAAGGGTAACTCGAGTCTGTAGACTCGCCTCGAGCAGAGCTCGCCGCCAGGTTCGTCTTCTGGTCCTTCTACACCTTCCTCTTTGCTGCTCCTTCCTTTTGTACACAAGGTTGCAAGTTTCGTGGGCAAGTCAAGCCCAATGCATACTCCGTCATATGCTTGAATGTCCCTAAGAGCATCAGCAGTGTGGGGGTCAAGGCTGGTTCGATGCAATGAATGCACGCCTCGTACCTGGGTCGATACACTGCGAGGATGAGTCGATAGAGACCCGAGTTCTTTGTATCGAATCCGCTCCCAGCGAAAAAAGAAATGCAACGAAAGAAGCGAACGGTTGAGAGATGATGACTTTTCCCCACCGCGGGTCCCATCTATCGATCCGGGCTGGGTTCTACACACTGTGGCCCAGTTACCAGATGAAGTCACGTCATTTCGTAGGACCGAGGCCGATGCGATACACTACGGGTGCTCTAAGAGACAGGGACAGAGGAAGGAACAGGCAAGATCTGCTGTACGACCCCTCAAAATAAATAAAAAAGATCTGCTGTACGAGAAAAGGTAGTGGGCCTGGTGGTGGTTGCTTCGTGTCTGGTGTTGGCAACTGGCAAGTGAAGACTAATGGCAAACGTGGACAATGAGATTGACACTCTTTTTTTTTTTTTGAACGAAATTGACACTCATTGTTTCTAGCCTTTATGGACGTTTAATTTTAAGTCATTTCACTCTGATAACAAATAATTGAGGCACTTCTCTCTCTTTCCTTCAACACATCTCATCGACCATGCATGGAGGAAACGTTCAGGAAATGCAAGATAAGTGAAATTCAGGAAGAATAATAAATTCTCAGTGAAATCATTGTGCAATGCTCTCACAAAGAACGATACTGGCCTAAAACATTCTCTTATCTGGAAAGGAAAGATTCCTCCAAAGATCAAGATTATTTTAAGGCTCGGTGAGAATAATGCAATCTTAACTAAATATAATTTGTTGAAAATGAAGTGGGTGAGAACCCCAGCCTGCTTGTTTTGTAACCAAAATGAAAGCATTACTCGCTTATTCTTTGAATGCAAGATAAGTAAAAGTTGTCTGGGCAATTGTTGCTTGTTGTATTGGTGCAACAAATAGAGCCTCAAACTTACAACAATATTGGCTTTGGATACATGGTTGCAAAATGGCAAAAAGTTCTTTACAAAGGTGGGTAGCAGTAGTCCGTTACAAATCCAGCTAAAATTATATGCTATACATGCATATATGCGCTTTTATTCAGTACTAGGCAGGGTTATACAATGGAGAAGACTATATATGCTTGTCGAAAGTGCAAATGAGATGCTGAGGATCACCACAGGGCTGTTGGGGATACTTGTCAACAATGCAGCGCCGTGACTGATGGAGAAAGACCGCGAAGATGAAGAAGACCAAGCGGAATGAATTGGAGATCCCGTTGCTCATGTGATTCTGGAGACGGACAAACTGTGTTTTGGTAATTAGTTTTTCAGTATGTAATAAGTTGAGAGCGGTTCTTTGGCCTATGATATCTCGAGTAGTTGATGTTTTAGCTTGACTTGGAACGGTGAACGCGGTTTCATCTATGACTCTTGAGCTTTGTTACGGTGCTTGGGAGGAACCGGTAGTTCCTTCCCTAAAAACTATTTACCGTGGCTAGTAATTAAAAAATAATTAATTATGTTTAAGGGCAGTTTAGTACTTTTTCTCTCCTGTACACAATCTCTAACCCAAATCTACGAACGGGAGGGAGTCGCTGCTCTCGCCGCCTCTCTTGAGTCGCCGCAAATCGCGTCTGTCGATGCGATCACGAACCAAATACCGCCCGCCGCGGACAGTTTCGCTACCGTGTGTAAAATTTCACTTATTTTAGATTGCATCTTATCTTTCTTTTGCATGGCTGTAGATTAGATGCAAGTGCAATACGGCCAGCAAGAAAGATAGGGCAGCGCGGCAACAGCGGCCCCGCAGGCGGCAGCAAGCATGGCAAGGCATCTGATAGTAGGCATGGGAAGCAAGCAGTGGCAGCCCGGTGATGAAGGCTTCAAGCAGCAGAACAGCTGAGTTCGGCAAGATGTTCACAGCCGCAGTGATGAACGACGGTCCCATGTCTAACTCCGGCGGCAGCGTGTGCGTCATGAACGGCAAGAACGGCGCCACCATCTCGTGCATATGTGACCCACGGCGAAGATCAAGCACGGCCGCATCCGCACTATCGTTTGGCAGCCCACCGGCGACTTCATCTGGAAAACGAGTGCCCGGCAGCAGCAAGCATCGCAGCCCGGAGGTTCCCTCGACGGCCCAGCAGTTTTGACAAGCTCATCAACGTTTCAAAGAAGCAGCTCCTTTTTTCTATTAAGAGAAGCAGCTCCTGAGACGTTTATACCCTCCAAATTTAATTAGAAACAAGTTATGGGTCCACATATTTTTTTTGGTTGTGGCCCACAACTTAAGTTTCTTTCATCTGGTTCCTCCTATTTTTAAACCATCAGATCTAACGAAATGAATGGCTCTCATTATTTCCAAGCGCCGTAAAATTTCACATGACTCTTTACCATGGTAGCTAGGTCTAGTTCTTGAGTCTGTAGCTAGATTTAGT